CCATTAAGCGATCCTTATCAAAGAGTAGCCTTATCACCGTGAAACACTTATGCATTATATCATCTAGAAGAGTTCTAGTTTTATCAAGAATGTATCTAACTTGAAACTTTAAATAATACAACTCCTGATAAGTCTACCACAAATGTCAATCCTAATCTCCTTATCATTCCAAATGTCTTTAATCAAATCACCAAGTGTTTGCTCTCATATAGAACTTACATTCACTGCCTTCTGTAAATAGACACACCTATTATTTATTTATTTAATTTCTTGGAAAATTGTTCACCCGTGTAGCTATATTGACTTAATTTGTTTTAGTTGTGTTTTATGATTGTGATCACTTGCGACAGTTTTTGCAGATACAATGCAATAAATTTCGACTCACACCAGAGGGGACGTTGAGGGGGAGCAAAAGGTGCAGTCGCATAAGACCTCAAATTTGAAGGGGCCCCTAAATTTTTTCCATTTAACATTATGTAATAATGTTCTATATTTAAAAATTATTTTTGTTAGCACTTTAAACTGCATTGTGCACTCCTCTTAAGAGTGTATTTTTTTTCCTTTCTAAACATAAGAACTTGGAGTACAATGAGATTTTTTTAGTGTCAATAATAACACCCTGAAAAGCGACATTTTCTTATTTTTTTATTTTTTCTTTTTTTTTCATGTTTGGCTATTTAAGATAAAACTGTTTTTGATTATTTAGTGAAGGTTATTGTTTGTAGTTCTTTTTACTTATCATTAAGAACATTTGTGAACATGCAACCAGTGAGTGCTAAAGTTTGTTTTGATTTTTTTTGTTGTTGAATAAACTATATTAGCGTAGTTTGTTTTGATTTTTTTTTTGTTGTTGAATAAACTATATTATCTACGCTAAGAGGGTGGGGAAGTGGGCTAAGTCTCATAATGGGCTAACAATAATGTGGTTCAAATTCGCCTTTGGCGAGAATTGAATATAAGACCTCTCACATACAAGTGAAGACGAATACCACTTGACCGTAGTACTAAGTGACTTTGTTTTAATTTAAGTGAATATTTTATAGTATCAATACATTGTCATACTTTTCTAAAACTTAAAACTATCTTAAGGAGGGTCCCTTTTACAAATTTCGCATAGGGCTCCCAAAATCTTAGAGACGGCCCTGACTCACACAATAACATCTAGCTATTGGTTCAACGATACTTTCTTTCAAACGTGAAAAAGAGTTACTGAATTTGAATTCCCCACCCTCATTCATCAAATAACATTTTATGGGCATCTTGAAATCATCATTAAAGCCAAAAGTATTTTCATTGTTTGCTACGTTTTTTGTTTTTCCAGGTGGGTTTTGCTGATTTTTCATGAGTCATAATGTGCTGGAAATTAACTAGCTTCCTCAATTATATTAGGGTTCTTCTCGTTCGCAGTAATTAACCAGTATTTAATACCGTGAAATGCATGATAGGCAAATGTAATTTCCGTCGGCTCTTTTTCAGTTTTGTATCAAGAGAGGTGCATGATTTGCACATCTTTTTGTTTGTTCATTACTCATCTTGCAAAAGCTTTGCTATGTTATCACAGATTTGGAGCCACGGGTTGTATTCCTACGCTCTTTAGCTAATACAATTTCAATTCAACGTTGTTTCCATGTAAATACATGTCAGGCCAGTTGGCTAAAATAGCCAAGTACAATCGCACAATGTTGCATTTGTACTAAAGTTCGAGTCTCTGCTTGTACTTTAGAATATCACAAATATAACATAAATTGAAAAAGTAAAAGCAAAAAAACGTGCATTTCATTCAACGCTACCTAACCTAAACCTAAACCTTCTAGAACAATCTTTGTAACATGGTCATGTTGCTGTTAGCATCCATCTGGTTGTGTAGCTTCGAAGATATGCTCAAAAATGCCCGAAACACGTTGCTAAAATAACCAAAATAACCTCGGAAGGTGTGATATTAATCGATAAAATATGATATGAGCGCTCCTAACTGTACCCGAAACCGAAAGTGTGTCGGAAAAGAAAAGTAATACCTAAAAAACATGAGATGGCTGCTCACACGCATAAACGGCGGTTACGGCCCCATTACAATATTACTTCGAATACAAGGAACTTCTTCGAGGGCTCCCAATCATCTCCTGCCTCTTGCTATATGCCAAAAAAGGCACGCGCAAATTGCCACGTGTCATTCCTACGCGGTCTCTCTCTCTCTCTCTCTCTCTCTAAATCATTTGTAGCTTCTATATATATGTACCGTGTACGTACCTAGTTGCCAAACAAAAACACACATCAAACTCTTAATCATCAAACTTTCGAAAAGCTGCAAGCTTTTTCATCATGTCTACAGCAATGGTAATCTCTGCTCTTCACTCAGCTCTGTCACCGCCGCGGCATTTCAATTCCGGCGTTAACCGAAAGATGGGGTTGCTCGAAATGCAGCGTAGGCGTCGTACTCCGACGATTTCTGCGTCGTCGCGTGGTCATGATAATTACGACGGTAGACTTGTGGACGAGGACATGATTGTGCTTCGAATGCGAATTCACGACGCGGAGATGCAAGACGAAGACAATCACCAACCGCCGTCGAACTGGATGCAGTGGGAGAAGCAATATTATGCACACTACAACTCGGACATCTGCGAAGGCGTGGGGTTGTTGCAATCCCAATTGATGAACACCAGGCCTAGCGTGGCGTTGGGAATGCTTGCTCTTGTTATACTTAGCGTCCCAATATCCACGGTTGCTTTGATGTTCCCATTGCTGGACATTTTTAAGGGGATCTTAGGCAGTGGGAATATTCACTTTTAGTCCATGCATGCATGGCTTCATTGCCTTCTGTAAATAGATAAACATATTAACTATTTGGTTAATTAATTAATTTCTTGGAAAATTGTTCACTCGTGTAGCTATATCGAATTAATTTATTAGTTATGTTTCATTATCGAGATAACTTGTCGCAAAGTTTTTGCACATGCAATACAATCAATTTCAATTCACAAAATCTTAACAAGTTATTAATTTAGTGGTATTTCTTCGCACTAAAAGAGTTCCTAAATTTAAATTCCCCACCCTCATTCATCAAATAACATTTTATGGGCTCTTGAAATCATCATTAATTCCAAAAGTATTTTCTTGGTTTGCTACGTTTTTGTTTTTCCAGGTGGGTTTTGCTGCTTTTGCACGAGCTACAATGTGCTTAAATTAACTAGCATCCTCAATTCTATTAGGGTTCTCCTCGTTCTCAGTTAAGCTACCCTTAATTAACCAGTATATAATAAGGGAAATGGTAATGAGACTATTTTAAAAGTGAGTGAGACTTTTTATATGTATTCTGCCATCTTATATTTTTTTACCAATATTTTATAACATTGTTCCGTCAATTGATGTAAATTGTGAGGTGACAAAAAGCTTACAGAGAATTCCACTATAGAAAGTCTCCTTAACACTTCTCATATAATAAGAGAATAATGCTAGGTAATTAACTTATTTCTTTTTCACCAGAGGAGGTGGGGAGATATATAGAATAATGTTATACACTAAATGTTTGATAAAAAAAAAATTTATAGACTAAATATATATACTAAATGATATGTCACTAATAAAAAATAAATACATTAATCGATATTTAAGTAATAATCAAATCATCAACTTTTATATTATTTAATTTATAAATTTTATCTATAAATTTATTCTTCTTATTATTACACGAAGGTAAATTAGACACTAAATTAATTGAGAGGAACTGAAGAGCCAAACATTGCTCATAAGTACAAGGGGTGTAATATCCACACACCCCATTTTACTTCTCACACATCATTTTAATTTTCGGCCATCGGATCGGATGAATTGAAGAAAATTAATAGACAGAAATTATCAAGGGGTGTGTGAGAAGTAAAATGGGATGTGTGAATAGCACACCCCTAAGTACAAATATAAGCGCCCGTCCATGTCAACCCAATTCCACGCCGGTGGATCCCCCCAGGTAAAATGCCAATATCCTCCTCAATGATTTACAATATAATAAACGAAAGATCCTTTCATTTGTTCATATATTCCAGGAAGGTTTCTCTGAAATAAGATGCACGCATGTTAGGTAAATGTAACTTCCAGTTCTTGACTCCCTGTCCAAACTTTTTTAATCTCTATACATGATAAGATACAAGAAAATCTGTTAATATTATTTAAAATTAAATCGTAATTGTTGAATTGATCAAGAGGAATATCGTTGACATATTAGTTAAATATTGTTAATATAATTTTGACCAAAAAAACTTTGTTGGACCATTTCGTCAAGCACCTAGTATGAAGATGTCGAGTATTGTTAACATTTGTTGAAGGTTTATGCTAACATATGTTAACAACTACTAAGATATGTAGAGGTTTGTCAATGGTGGCTATAAAAAACTGTACAATAATATTGAAGATTGTAAAAACTTATCAACTGAGGCATTTCATCGATTAATTGGTGTGCACAATAAAGTCACACACAGCAAGAAAAAAAAAAAGAAAGACATGGATGACAAAATAATACAAGGAGAAGTAAGAGGAGGTTATAATTTTTTTTGTCCTAACTGTTTATATGATCAAATACAATACACATACAAATACATAAGTTTTTTAAGTTGTTATAATAAACTACCAATGATTCCAGGATGGTTCGGGATTGAATCCATTTCAACGTTTGGTATTTAAAAAATGATCATTTAATGATTTTTCTAAGCCTTAAACGCTTTTCTTGATTAAATCAGAGCCGTCGATTAAAAAGGTGCATCAAATCTGACATATACCAAATTGGCAGCACAAGATTAAAGTCTTGTTATCCGTACCCCACAAGTCTCACTCTGTGTGTGATGTGACAGGAGCTAAACTTCCGGAATTTCTGACGTAAATAACGCGTTGAACAAGCTTAGTGCCCCTTAAAATATAAAAACACGGTTAAGCCTCCATCTCCATTTTCCCAGTTTCTTAGCTAATAAGCTGTGTCACATGCCCCACCGCTTTTTCTCTCTAATCTACAAAATTAGAACCTTTATCTCTCCAATTATTAGTCCATTATTATTATTATCTTAATTGTTAATAATTTATTAGCACTATAATTAGGCCCATAAATGTAGGTGCATCCACCACCAAAAACCATATCAAATTTCAAGTACACCAATCGTTCCCGTTTCTCAATCACCGTAGAAAGCAATGGCAGCAACTTCACTCGTTTCTTCTTCTTCTTGCTCCAACATTCTTTCATTTAATCCGATTTCCAGCACGACCCGAAACCAAAAGCGGAAGGTTTCTTCAACTAGGGTTTTTGCATCGAGCAGAAAAGGAGGTGATCATGCAGACCAGTACTACGAAAACTACAGCAGCAGGCTAGTGGACGAGAGCATGATTGTTCTCCGGAAGAGAGTTCACGAAATGAAGATGGTGGAGAGAAACTACGAGCCTCCGTCGGATTGGATGGACTGGGAGAAGCGATATTACACCACCTACGATTCGTTTATATGCCAAGTCATGGGCTTCTTGCAGTCCCACTTGATGGACACAAGGCCAAGTTTTGCTTTGGCATTCTTGGCTTTGGTCGTTTTGAGCGTGCCTACTTCAACGCTTATGGTTTTCTTCCAACTTTTGGAGCTCGCAAAGGGGGTCGGTCTTCACTAGCGGCTATATATATATATATATATATATATATAGTAATTTGTTTGTATAAATACATAGACATGTAGGATTCCAAGTTAATGAAATAAGTTCTTTCGTCAAAAATTTCAAGGAAGTTTTGGTTCTTCTCGTTTGTTTTTTCATCAATAATCATATTAGAGGCAAGTTATATACAACCCATGAATCTAGGTAGTTTACAAGAAAGTAATTTTCGCACGTTTAACTTATAACATAAATCAAATTAAGATATACAGATGTTATCTCCGCTCATTTTCTTCACTTCCACACCCGAAAAAGAAAATGCCACTTTTTTAGCATATGACAGTAAAATGTGAATTAGAAGAATTCTCGATCCACCAACTATACTTTTGATGGCTTTTTAACTAAAATATACATCCTGAAATTGATATAATTTTTCACTTTAGTCCCTGACAGTAAAAATTATAGAAGTGATTTTTGAGTTTGTCCACTGTTAATCATTTAATTTAGTCATCTATAAAAAATTTGTCAATATCCCTATTAAGTGGAGAGAATATTGATTTGACAAAAGTAGTCTTAAAAGTGGTACGTGGTTGTTCACTAGACAATTTAACGAATATATTGACAGATTTTTCACAAAATGACTAAAATGATCTACGAGACTACGACAGATAAATTCAGAAATTTCTTCTATAGATTTTCATTGTAATATATAATGTGAAATTATACTAATATCATAAACTGTCTTAACTGAAAAAAAACCCAAGTGTGGGCATATCCCTTTGCATCAGTTTGAATCTGTGAGTTACAGTTCATCTATATTGGACGCTTGAAGTTGGGGCAGCTGGGAATTATATTATTAATCATGATCAAGCACAGGCAGACGTCGTCGTCATTATCGTGGGCCACTCAATTACTAATTTTTTTATTTTTTTAGTTTTTGGTTGACACTCAAATTTTAATTAAGTTTCAATAAAAATGTACATTTTTTGAAATGATTGAGGAATTGCCGTGGATGCGCACAAACTCAACGGCCAAAACAATTCCATAATCTTGACTGATTTATTTTCTATTATTAGATTCCGATCAATTGCAACGATCTTGAAATATTATTGAATAAAATAACTAGGACTTGGATGTCCTTTTATTTAGAGAGAAGTCGGATCAACAGTATGATACAAAAATGATTTAACCAATGCGGAATGTTTTATATAATTGGAAAAAAAAAATAGTGCGTTTGAAATACAAAACGGTATTCTATATATTATTATACCGTAAAATAAAATAAAAAATTCTCAAGTGTTTATCAAATTTTATATTAACATGTGTATTGCTCCGTATTTCTCGGACATATTGAAACATTTATCCTAAAATTGTTTAATATTTTTTTATTATAATTAGAGGCATAAAATGAGTGGCAAAAATAAATAAATAAATAAATATGATACCTTCTCAAACAACATGAGAGGCATAAAAATGGTTCCGCTGAAAAATGGCCTTGTAAAGGTTGAGTCGTTGACGAGCAACCAACAGTATTATGATTGCTTCAATAATTTCTAAGACAACAGATGCTAATTTTTAACCATTATCTTAATTGTTAAAGGGGAGAAAAGCATATATCTTTAGTAAATCGGCTAACTTCAAAGTTCTGGAATAGGATACTTTCCGGATCCTCTTTGTGGGATTTGAAAAACCAATCAATCATATATGTTTATTATATATCATGCGGTTAAAAATTGTTTAAAATTAAATATAAAAGCACTTAATGAAAACTAACCACACAATATATGATAAACAGATACAATTGATTGATCTCCAGATCCCCACAAACAGGATCCAGAGAGGATCCTCGTCCCAAAGTTCCAAGGGAACGAAAAAGAAATTAACTTAGTCGGTTCTATCTATATGATGAGGCTGCTTGATTAAATATAAATTTGTAATCAAATAATTAAACACTGCTCTTCAATCTTCAATTCTTCATTAATCTAATATTTTATTATAATTGGAGCCAATGAACCATCAGTTAATTCAAAACAACTGATCACCATATAAAAATAAATAAATTGGGATTACTAGCCCTTTCACAAATCCACCAATTAAAATTAGCCCTCATCTTGAAAACAATCTCTACAAACATTTTTTTAACAAAAGTACTTTTAATGTTGTATCAATAATCTACCAATATTGCGTCAAAGATAACGAGTAGATATTGCATTTTAAGAAGGGCTGGGTTTGTGAAGGGGCTACTAAGCCAAATTTATCAAAAAAAGAGTCGGTTCTATGTACACAAGTTCATCTTTTGACACACATCACTTTCATTTAAAATAAAAATTTACCCCAAAAGACTTAGTGGTTTAAAATTACCCTCAAAAAACTTCATGATTCATTAAAAAAAAAAAAAAAACAGTTATTTCCTTTGGACACCAATAGAATTTTAAAACAAAAGTGGTAACTACAAACTGATTTGGATCAAACTTTAATAACCGCGTCGTCGCGATAAGATTGGGAAGAGAGAAAGGGTGTCCAAAGAAAATAAAAAATGGGTGACCTAAACAAAATAAGTAAACGAAGTGTCCACACAAAAAATTTGAGTGTACACAAAACCACTCCAATTAAATACCTAAGTTCGATCTTTCTTAATTGCCATACAAATACATTACATCGGCCTCTGATGATCAAATCTCCAGCCGGAAAAGTGAGTCCAGTAAGTAGCTTCTAGCTAGGCGTATGCAGCTCCGGTTGAATTCTCAACAATCGATCTTCAAAGCATGCTCCCCATATGTCATATATCCAAGTAAACTAGCTTCTTCCCAAAGGCATCTTATATATCTGCATGAAGTTCTACTGCACAATAAATTGTGAGTTAAGAAAATCAATTCATAAATCCAGTAATTAGTAATCTTTTTACCAAGAAAATAAATTTAAAGTTTTGGAATGAATAATTATAGGTAAGGAGCTCCCTTCAGTCCAAGACGTGACAGCAATAACCAACTTCTCGGCTCCTGCTTCGTTGGATCAGAAAAACACCACTTCTTTTAGCAACTTTATGATGAGTTTTTGAACCAACGAGTCAGCAGCTGAGTGCCAGCCCTTAAACTGCCTCGGACTGGACTGAAGAAGAGCTCCTTTCAGACACACACACACACACACACACACATATATACGTATATGTATGTATATAAACCCACCCACACGACATCATATATAAAACCCTAGGGATTAAATTAACGAAGCGAATACACGACCACATAATGTAGGGTTTGCATGCATGGCTTAATTACAAGCTGTTTTGATCAGCTAGAAGATGCATGCTTGTTCAATAAGTACTATACATAATCACATTTATATAATTTAGGGCTTATTGCCACAGATCGAAAAGAGAGAAATAATCTAGGGCACAGCTGAGAAAATGGTAAGGGACGAGGGAGGAAGAAGGAGGGCGAGGGTATATATAGCCATAAAAGGTGAAAACGCCAACATGCAGATCTAAAAAACAGTACTGATAGAGATTTAGGGCAGAGATAAAGGGCACCAATTCATATCCTGTTTGAAAATTTTCGAAGTCCTTTCAACTCAAACAAGACAACTTTATCTTAATTTTGGGAAAGAGATCCTCTCCGAATCTCTTTCTCCAAAACATATGGATTAAGTGATTTAGACTTTTGAAATTTAATTTAACGGTAAAAAATTATTATAACTTTTAAAAGTTTTTACTAACTTCTCTATTTTTAGCCGTTGGATCAAATTTCAAGGGTCTGGATCACTTGATCCCTGGACTTTGGAGAAAGATATCCGGAGGGAATCTCTTTTCTTAATTTTGGGAATTAGATCCCCTCCGGACCTTAGTTTCCGGAACCTAGAAATCAATTCATCTGGACAGCACAAATTCAATCTAACGGTCCCCATTAACTCATTTTCCTAGCTCACCACACAAAACCAACGGCTCTGATTCTTTTACACATCAATCAGCGGTCCAGATGATTTGTTTCTCAAATTCTAGACACTAAGATTCGGAACGGATCCAATTCCCTAATTTTGTACCATCTCTGCTGACCTAGCTAGCTGATTTTACATATCTCATCAGACAGCTGGATTGCTCACCACAAACACTTGTCTGATCAACTCTTATATCTCATGGCTCGCTGCCACAACTACACACATATGTATATGTACAGCTGAGATTAAATCTTAAATAAAAAATTATACACTGTTTTAGTCTTTTTAGCATCTTAAGCACTCTTCTTTAATCTTATTTTTTTGTTTGATTAATTTAATTTCATGATCAGAAACTAAAAGAGGTGTGAGAAAAGTTAACAGTATATGTGAAATACATCTTCCAAATAAAAAAAATTTACATATGCATGCAAAACCACGACCATATCATCTAGGGTAATTTTATCTACACACTCATTTTTACTTTTCACACATATTTTTCAATTTTTGGCCATTGTATCAAATGAATTGGAAAATCAAGGGACAAAAATTAACAAAGAGTATGCAAAAGATAAAAGAATGTATAGATAGCATATATAAGACAGAAAATTCTTAATATGCTAATCTCAATTAATGTTATGCAAACCCTAGAGTGTCATGCATTTTGGGAACATGCAAGAGCATTTCTTAATTAACATGTTTTTGTTTTAGTGTAGAAAAAACAAAATAGTTATAGGATTATCGTATGCAATTTTTAAAAATAATTCGGACTATTTAGTAGTACGGGAAATGAAAGGTTGAGATTGAATTAAAAAAATACTATTTATACTTACTTGTCAATCTAATGGATATGAAGCCAGACTACCAAGTAATCCAGATTATTAAAGACTCATACCTCTATCGTATGAATCATGTCTTCACCATATAAGATCACTTATATAATATATATCACTATTTTTTCCTTACTTTCTTTAGAACACAATAGTTCTATGTGATAAAATACAAAGTTATTGCAGAGCAATATCCTCATGTTTTCCTCCAATAGCACAGAAACCTTGCTCTGAAGGGGCTCGATAACATGCATTCAGCACAATACCAATTGATAATCCGAGAAGAGATCAGTTAATTAGTTAGTATAGACGTCTTAATTATCTTTACAATATATGACTATTGTTGCAAAACGAAAATGATCATGCAGCACAAGAATACATGA